CATTCTCCCCAATGGCCATCAGGGGGCGATCACTGGTTCGTAGGAAAGTCTGATTGTGTTAGGAGGTCTGTGAGAAAGTGACCACTTATCACCTCTTCCCTCAGCAAACATTGTAAAGACGAGTTTATGGCCTCGATCTGAAGTTTCAAGTTGGCATGATGTTCCACTATGGTTCATTCAGAGTCAAATACACAATGCTACCTTGACATTGACTCACTACCACACGCAGTTTGAGAGTTGTCTGAAATACAGTTTCAGTCCCCTAAAAAAAAAAAGGTATTCAGGTTTCAGTTAGTTCTTCCTTCCCAAGAAGTCGGCCAAGAACTCAAGGTCTCAAAACCAACGGGTGACATTACTTCTTATATGCATTCATTGGGCTGAATCAGGCATCTATTGCGTCTTGAAATTTAAGAGGTGGAACACATAAAAAGGAAATGCATGCAACACTTCCACTCCTGCACAGCGGAGTGATTAAGTTTTATTAAAGCTGCAATGCAGCAATAAGCCCGAAAGACTCCAGTCACAGCAGTAACTGCCAATATGAAATATATCAGTGCAAACTAAGGGAAAAGGGCTGGGAATGACTTCCCCGGCTCAGCAAGAACAGGCTTCTAGTCTCAGGCTAATTTCACACCAACACATCGGCTTGAACATGTTGTCGCTTGTCAGCATCTATTTAAAAAGATCATTTTCTACCTCTAAAAAAAGAAAGGAAAGTGAGCAGCGCTTCAATTTCTCCCGCGGGGCGTTCACAGGCCACTCGAGCCGGCAGCTGTGCTGCATCCCCGCGGCTTTCAAAGCGCTATCGTTCGCTTGCAGGGTAAAAACAGCGCGGTTAATTCGGATTATGTCGATAGCGAGTAATGGCAGCAGAAGTCGTAGTCTGATTAGTTCCGATGTTTGGCTCCACAGGTGAATATGTTGCACACAGCGCAGCAGACTGTGACCCGTGCATAAGGCGATTTATGCTTTATGCATTTATGCTAATGTTGTTGTCCTAAATTTACATAAAATTGAAATGTAAAAATAGGGCGTTTTCTGGATGCTTAATAAATCCAGATATGGTCTTTGAAGCTCTTGGATTCTGCGTTGATTTTGGTCCCTTGGGACAAGGACTGGTTCTGGTTCTCCTACGCTTCCCCTCCCTCAAGCCGGTCCGATAAACAGGCCTGAATAACAATATGGATCTTCTCGCTCATGGTCTTCTACTGGGCTTTTGATTTGATCTGTGCTTCTGACAGATATACAAAACACAAAGCTGTGAGAAGCAGCGGACTATGAGTATTTAGCAAAAAGACTCCCAGTGCTCGACTTATAATATATATATATATATATATATCGATGCAGTTTGTTGTTATGAACCCGTCGGTAGGCCACAGATCATAATAACCTCCCTTGTATGGAGCAAATGAGAACACCGAAGCCCTTTGATCCTGTGCTTTATTTTTAGTTGAGCTGCTGGATTCTAGTTTTTAATAAGATGTATATCCAACAACATGTACAAGAAATACAAAAAAGCGCCTTTCCTCATGTCTATTTTTTTTTTTTAAATCACACACCTTCCTACGCAAAGAGACATATGTTCAACACACTGCCGTGATGTTGTTGTGGTTGAAACAAAAGCACAAGCACTTTTCCAACAAAGACAGCGCCAGAAAGCCATATATGAATTAGTATTCGTGACAAATAATATCCCCCCAAAAAACTCAAAATCTATTTCTATCTATTCCAAGGTGGAAACGTTCCCGTCCAGCTCCCGACAGCAGCTGACCGCCTCGTCCCTCCGACAGCGGAGCGGCGAGGAGGCCGAGATTAAACCTCCGCGTCCGTTCACTAACAAGAGAGAACGAAGGCGCCATCCCTTCGCATCAGTATTACATAATCAAAGGCCGCGTCCCCGGCAAGACGAGGGACGTGCCCGGAGACAGTACATCCCATATTTAAAAAAAAATAAGAGGAGCTCATTTCCCCGGGTGTTACGGACTATCACAAACATCTATATCCTCGGACTGGTCAATGTGCTCCGGCTGCTGGCGTTCCTCTGATGAAGCTGGATTCCTAACTGGTACGTCTGCTGCTTTTGTCCCCTCGGCCTCGCGTCGCTAATGGGACTGCATTGCCCCCACTCTCCGGACTCAGCATTGAGCTACTGGCCAGGAAAGAAAATAAGTTACGACCAAAATATCAATTTGAATTCCCTTTACACTGCATTTCTCTCAAACTGAGGGTTATGCTATTCATACTGCAGTACACACACACACACACACACACACATTTAACTCAGGGAAATTAATCACAACATCCCCAAGGACGACACCTTTATTCTCCTTACGGGAAGAACATAAAAAAAAAAAAAAGTCACATTTTTCGATGAGACACCCAGTCTGGCTCGGCCGTGGATGCACAGCACAAAGAGGGGCTTTATCTCATTAAACAGCAGATTTCTTTCATATCTGAAGGAGGTGTGAGAGTCTCTTAATAAACTCCAGCCACTTCAGAGAATAAGTGCCGCGTCATACATGTTTGCGACCAGAATGAGTTCTTTAACACGGCCTATGAAACGCCACTGGTGAAAAGGAAAACTTTGAACATCAACAGTATCAATCTAAAATGTTCCCATCTCACAGCAAAGGGCTGTAAATTGTCCACTCCTGATTTAAATCAGCGAGTTTCTAGATTTCCTAGAATGACTATCAGCCAAAACAAGAGCTTTTGGGGAAACAAAGAGTGGAGGACCGATACTTCATCCTCCATTGAGGAGAGGCTGATGCGTCTTCAACGATGGACGTGCCCAGTAGCAACGAGTCCTTGGGAATAAGGTTTGTCCTCTGAGACAAACTGGGACTGGGGAGCATTTTGTGAGCCCGTCATACGTCTGTGTTGAGGTTTGGTTAGGGGACATATCTTTGGGTGAAATGACTACCAAGTTCCTTTTCACCGTCTGTACGGAGACATTTTAACCAGTGAAACTGCCTATTTGAGCAGAGAACAGCTGTAATTTGAATTAAATCAAGTCTGTTGCATTTGATTGGACCTGCAAAAAGGGGGCGGGCTCAGGATATAGAGCGATGTAGAGCGACAGAAAGATGTCAATCTATTATTACGTTACTGATTGGATTTTAAAACAAATTAAATATTATGTTACATATATTGTTGTCTACATTGTAATCATGTTGCATTCTTTCCCCGCTGTGGGATTAATAAAGGATTATTTTAACATCTCATCGTTATGTGTGTGTGTGTGTGTGTGTGTGTGTGTGTGTGTGTGTCGTATATGAATATTATTGAACACAATATGATGTGATCTAAAAGGTTGCATTAATAAACATGTGATACGGTCAAGTGACCTTCACAAGAGATGAAGAAGACTTTGCTCTCAATAGTAACTTCTAACTTGGGGAGTTTACGCTCAGTGGTAGATTTACGTTTTATTCATACTGTGCGTTTGTCAGGAACAGCGTGAGACCGGAGGCGGTTTCCCGCAGACTTTGGTGGCAGAGAAAATCCTCGGTCTGCTCTGTGCAGCAGAATCCTTTGGTTTTAACCTTTGGCCTGTCGGAGAGCGTGACAGGAGGGACCGCGTTGGCTCAGACTGTGGAAAACAAAAGGCCCGGTCACTGCCTCGCCCCCCACCACCACCCCCCCTCCTCCTTGAGCCGAGAGCGATAAAGCACAGAGAGACAACAAAAGTTTGGGTCCGGTCGACTGAAAAAAAAAAAAAAGAAAAGAACATCATGATCTCATAATGGAAAACCTCCTCGCCGTGAACTCGGTGTGTCGGGAGAAGCGTAGCGAGAGAGAGAGAGAGAGAGAGAGAGAAACTGGCGCGTGTGCTTCAAGTGATGAGGGAACGCTTTGAGGATGACTGTCTTTTATCTGCGCCGAGCGGAGCTGACAACGAAGAACTTGAATTTAAATAAAAAGTGCAGCGAGATCGCAGCAGTCTCCAGTCTCCTCCAAAATCCATAAAAAAAATAAAAAAACATCTGCAAAACCAAAGCTGATAAAAGCTTCATCCCAGCAAAAAGGCCCAGCTTTCCCTTCAAGTGTGTGCATACATACAAAATACATAGAAGCTGTGTTTTCTCTGTGACCGCGCATCGTGTTTAATCCTCATCCAGATAACTCCTAAAAACAACTTCCAATAAAGCCTCCTCGCCACACACTAAGCGCTGAAAGGTGGCCATAGGGGAAGTAAGCGCCCCCCCCCTCCCTCCAAACAACAGGCATTACACTGATTAACAGCCTTTGTTGAAACATACCATTACCACATAAGACCCAGTCGAGAAGGACCAGATGTCAGATAATAGGGTGTGCAGCGGGAGATAGGTGCTGGCCCCAAGCCACTGAACAAGTAACAACAGCTTCCTTCCATATAAACCTCTGCACTTTAAAAAAAGGGGGCAGCTTGTTGTCTGGGTGGGTGGGCTGCTACACCCCCCCCCCCCCTCCGTGCGCGTTGAACATGGCTTACACATGCCGGATAAGTATCTCCTTTGTGTGAACTACAACCCACCACCACATATTTTGGGTACAAATGAAACAAACTCAGTTTTTCATGCAGATCCAGCAAGGCCGAAATATACACACGCTTATTGATACAATTATGTTAGATACGATTGTATGTTGCAGGTCTAAAGCCATTCCTGGGGGGGGTGGGGGGGGGGGGGGGGGGGATTTGCACATGTTGCTGTCTGCTGATGAAATAAAATGCTCGTTATAGGGTACAAAGGGAGCAGCTAAGTCGATCTCATCAAACGCTTGCTGGGGGATTGGGGATTGGGGGGGGGGTCTCTCTTTGGCTTTGCCCATGAGCCGCGGCAAGAAACAGTCAAATCCATAACCTATGTCATGTTATAGATCATCTGCTGCAGGAGCCCGACACACACACACACACACACACACACTCTGAATGTGTCAAATCAATTAAAGTTTCAACATGAAATGCTCAGGTGAGGAGAAAGGGAGAAGTTGAGCACAAAAAAAGGAGGATTCATTACCTTTCCTCGAGTTGACCCTTTTTTTTTCGGGCCAATTGTTGGCATCACATCCGCGCTTCCTCCTCTTCCTCGTCCGCTGCGGCTGCGGTACCGCGTCTGCTCGGGCTCCGGTACCGCGTCTTGCTGCAGCGCTCCGGTGCGGCTCCCCAATCCGACTCAGCGCGCCCGGCCCGCACGTTTCCAGTCGGTCCCGAATAGCTGGAGCGAGCGGCTCTGAAAATAACTACCGCGCCGATCGAAGCGGCCCCGTTCGGTCCCGACGCAGGAGGCGGTCACATCAGCGACACCCATGGGTGTGCGCGGCGCGGGCACGGTCTGCAGCAGGTAGAGGCGTCCGGACCGACGGCTACTTCTCGCCACGCAAACGAAACGTGCCAAGCCTCGTCGGCCATTCACAACTAGTCATGCGTGCGCGCGCGTGAGTGTGCGAGTGTGTGTGTGCGTGTGTACGCGCGCGTACGTGCGTTTGTGTGCATCCACTGCCCAGTCGGTGCACAGTGCCACGCAGCGCCGCAACATGGAGCGCTGAACTGCCTATCACTGTGTCAAGTCCTTTAAAACCAGTACACACGATACTTCCGGTAGTCGATTTCAAAATAAAGGCATGCAGTGTTTTTTTTCTCCCCGTTTTGCTGTGTCTCAATTCGTGGGCTGCATTCAAGCGCATGGCCTTTTTCAGGGACCGAAATGGGACAGTCTGGCCTATGGAGCGGGGCTTTCTGTTTACGTCATTAGCTTATTCTCTGCCGCTCCCGTTGCCAAGCAACCTGCGGCGCTTGACTTGTCATTTCCGGTTATTTTAAATTAAAAAGAAATCAGTTAAGCCATGCACTTTCAGGTAAGAACGAATTATTCAAAACAGTCAAAAAATAAATATACTAGCTTGTATACTTAATTAGTATAATTATTTTAACTGTAACCTTAAGATATTACAAAATATGTCCATGCTACAGTAGCTTGACTGCAGCTGAAATCCCGGTCGATCAGAGGGTGCACAAGAACAAACATACGTGTGTGTGTGTGTGTGTGTGTGTGTGTGTGTGTGTGTGTGTGTGTGGGTGCGTGCGTGCGTGCGTGCGTGTGTGTGTCCTGTTTGCTTGTATGTTTAGGGGGTTGGGTGGAGAATGAATTATGTATGATGAAATAAGGCACTTATACCTAAATCATTCATAATTATTCAGGAGAGGCCAAGCGGGTGCCAATCAAACTCCAATCCGTCTCCCCTGCAGATCAATGCAACTGACATTCTGCGCCGATAAGATGGAGAAGAGGTCGGAGAGTGACAGACATTAGCTGACCTCTTCCTGAAGCAGCCAATACAATCACACAAGCACAGTCCCATCAGCCAGAATAACAATCAGGGATGTAGAGGTTGATGGCCCCTCTGCAATGTAATGTATCACAAACTAATGTACAGCATTTGCTGAAAGGGGAACATTTAAATGGGTTAAGGACAGTTGTGATTACATGTGTGGTTGTTGTTTGTATAGTGATTGGTGGTCACGCACTATAACCTTTTGTCTTATTTAATAACAGTGCAGAGTGGATGATAATGTGGTCATCGGGCATTAGCTTTAATCTACTTATTCCCTTATCTTTTAATTCATTCTCAACCACTATTTGAATACTGTTCCTTGAGTGGTGCCTCCATAAAGTCTTTTGAGGTTGAATTTGTATCTTATCTTTCATAGCTTGTAAACGCAATATTGTAAAATAAAGTTTTTATCAAGCTAAATAAACTATTTTTCCGTCAAATCAACAACTTCCTTGTCTTTGCATACATTGAGATACATATAGATATATATAGATATATATATCTATATGTATATGTTGTACATAGTGTTTTTACCTTGAGAGCTTTTCTCTCATCATTTTGCAGGAAGATTTCTTTTACAATATCGGAGTAGCTGATTCAGGCCTTATCCATTCTTGTCATGATCAAGACCACCTCATCACCTCAACATCTCAGCTTGTAGGAATTGTATAACGTAACAAACCGCAACTCCACACCTTTGGCTGCATCCTTTTATCATCGATCCATCCAAAAAGTGAGTCCATGTTGACTATTATCTCTAACAAAAGTATCTCCAAAATATAATTGCATTTATTTTTATTGAAATGATTTACAGTCGGTTTCCAGTCTTTACCACAAATGTCAAGCGTATCAATTCTAAACATAAAAAAACAAACAAAAAAGAAAAGTGATTCCTCAACTTGAGGATGACTGAGGTAGTAACACGTGTGGTACACAGCTAACACACACGCCTCTGAATACAGCTGTCAGCTGCACCTGTCTCGTCCTCCCCGAGGAGCATTCAACACCTGAGCCTGAAAGTGTTCTTCCACACTTTCCGCCTGCCGTCTGTTGTGTTGTAATTATGTCAGATAGTTTCTTGCGTGACCTCGCCACACAGGACGGACGTCCCTCTGATGAACCCGTCGGTGGTCGTCCTCGAGGAGGACCAATTTACTGAGTCTGTGCACAAAGCGGGTTCCAGCAGACCAAATCTGAGTGGTCCATGTGATAAACAGACATTAGTTTAGTTACATTGAGGCCAGACTTTGTATTAACAGTCCTACGCTGAATTCTGTTGGCTTTAAAATTATTTAAAGTGGCATAATAATAATAATTTGAATACTAATGTCTGTCCGAGTCACTGTCTTTCTCTGGAGGAAGTAACACAAAGGTGATTGACATACCTGGAAAAAATTGTTTTGAAAAGTCATCCATCAAAACTGTTCACCATATTTGATGTAATTCTGGTTTGAATTTGGATTTACTAAATATAGATTAGATTTAAATTGTGTTGTCAGAGTTCATTAAGCAGAGCAAATAAAAAAGTATGATTGATGTGGAAAATATTATGATTTAATATTCTACAATATGAAAGTACTTGCGATTATTCCCGTCTCTCGGGGTACACCTTGGTACAAGTTGGCTGGGATGGGCTCCAGCCCCCCCGCGACCCTGTGTGCAAGATAAGCGGTTTGACAATGGATGGATGGATGGATGAAAGTACTTGCTTTTTTGTCGAGTTCCAAAAATGCAAAAAGTATACCTGAATTACCGCGTTCTGTAATTCAGGTTCAACGCAGTTGCGATGTGCTGTGTATTAGCAACACGCTACTGTTTAATACAATATCCGTTCCATTTATGCAACCAGGAATTGTTACGTCATCGCTCTTTACGGCAAGATTCCATTACAATAGACATGTCAGAACACAGATGTTGCTTCAGCTGAGTGTTCAGGACCAACTTCTACAGTCTGCATACATGTTGTGCGTGCGGAGTCCATGTAATGCTGATGAGAGGAAAGTATGGCTGTAGGTCGAAAGCAGTGAAACAGTTTGGGTTGTAATAAGATTTGTGCAATTTCTAAGAATAAAAATAGCAGAGCCTGCAACAGTTGCTGACACCAGTGACGTACAGTTGATTGTATTTGAGCTGGAAATCCAGCAGCAAATCCAACACGTGGTGGGGCTGCCCTCCGCCTACTGCAGCTGACAATACATACAACACATAGGATAGTAGAATATGTCATCATGTCTTACTCCGTTTTGTATGTGTTTTTATATGCATATTATCTGTATATTGTACAAATTACTTCTTTAATGTCCACATGAGTTTTCTCTGCCTTTTTATAATCAAGTGTCGCTGTGTTACTCCGTCTAAATGAATCACCGCCTCGCCCCACTTTCCACTCCACCTCCTGTCAGTGAGCTGCCATAACAATAGTGCATAATCACGGAGCATATGATGGGACATGCAGGCTCAGTCAGACTTCCCATTTCTTGCGGTTTTACGCTGTAATGTATCATCTGGTCCTTCGGTTTGGAGAAACTCACACAGAACAGGAAGTAAGAGACGAGACATTCAGCAGCAGCTTGAGCTCTGCAGAGACAAAACTGCTCCGGGGGATGTTCGAGAGACATTCGGTGACTGGGGTACGACTTCGAGAACACGATCGGGCAAGTAACTTTATTCTAAAAAAGTTTTATTTTCTCACACTGGGGACTTTAGGGAATGCGAGTCCACTATTGTGATTTAGCCTGCTGCTTGTTTGTCCTTTGAGTTTTGCTGAAAAACCCTTTTGCAAACATATAATGAATTCCAAGTCCAACACGATGTGAGTTAATCATACAGCTTTTTAAAGTCATTTGTCATGTTTTTATTTCCTACATTTGATTTTGTATTTTTAAATATTCTAGGAGTTTTAAAATGCTCCTTTCTTGATCACGTACAAGTTCCTCCTTTTCTTTTTTTATTACTGTGATCAAACAATATTACTAAAACAAGAAGTACATGCTGACATGACACCCTGTTGTTATTTTTAGGATAAACCAAGATCTGTGAGAGAATACAGCCACTTAAGGCGCACTGAGATTGCCCAGATCTTGTTGCAATAACGCTGCGCCGAAGTTGGTACCGACTTCCTGTTTTGTGGCCGAGCATCGGCTCAAGTGATCTGTGAGTATGTTCGCGCTCACGTTGCTTTGCAGCAGATGTAAAAGGCTTCCTGTATGTTCCTGTGCAATGCAATGGAGGCGTTTTCCTCTGCGAGGCGTTTCACCTTCGCCATACTTCAAAACTGCAATAATCCTTCTTGTTAATCAACATTGTTAAAATTTAAAATCAATTTAATTTTAAAATCAAAATTAAAATCAAACACTGACAATTACTAGACGGACGCAAAAGGCCCGAGTGGTCAGGGGTCAAAGGGACCCCCTGAGTCAGTTTAAATGTATGCCTCGTTTAAAACTTAAATCAAAAAACTACAAACAGACGACAACATAAAGCACTTTATGCTTAATATTTTTTAACTTTTTTAATATTTTAAATGTTAAACTTCAACTTTATTCTCTTGTTTTATACTTACCCGTAGCCTTATTCTACTAACCCATTGCATTGCAAGACAAATTCCTTGTGTATTTGACATATTTTGGCAATAAATGTTTCCTGATTCCTGATCCTGAAAAGATTACAAAGACACACAAAACGACTTAGTGTCAACACATGAATTTCCACGCATTATATTTGCATTTTTCCCTAATTTGTACTGCAATTGCTGCACGACAATTATGTCAAGTTGTATACGATCTAGATCCAAAACTATGCCAGGAGCGATGCAAGACAATATGACTCCAGTGACCCAAAACAACAAAAACAACTGCGTTAAGATGCAAAAGGACCACAAACTGATAGTTAAGAGACCCAAACCTAACCTGGGGAGACCAAAATGACAACAAAGACACTCCAGACGACAAGAAAGATGGGAAGAATCATCAAAAATTAACTAAATACAACCAAGACGAAATGCCAAAACAACTACTATCCTTTTACATGTCTAACAAGGGAGAACGAGCTTGTATGGACGGGCGGGACAGCAAGCCACTGACTGACCTTTACAACAACCCCTTTTGAAAGTAAAACACTGTCTTCTCATTTCCTCTATATTGCAGCTCTGGGATGTTCACGCCGTGTTAGTGCAGAGGAGGCCGGAGTATGGAGCTGGTGTCCGTGCTGCACGAGTTCGAGTACACGGCGAATGACGGTCGCCTCGTGTCCATCAAGCCCGACGAAAGCTACGTCCTGGTCTCCAGAACCAACGAGCACTGGTGGCACGTCCGCAGGGACCAGCGCTCCAGACCCTTCTACGTCCCCGTGCAGTACGTGAGGGCGCTCGCGTCCCCCTCCGAGGACTCTCCCGGGCCTACCGAGGCCGACGCGAGGCCGCGTGAAGCGGCTACTCGCACGTCGGCTCCGGAGGCTTCCAGAGAGACTCGCCGCTTCTCCACTTTTGGTTTCTGTGAGAACAAACCAGATGTGGCGCTCCGTGTGAGGCGAGAGGAGGAACAAGCCCCCGGCGGCTGTGCACGCAAACAGGACGACGTGAGAACGAGCGACTCAACACCAGTATATTCATTTACGTCTGGGCATCTGAGTGAGGACGGCCCGCTGTACGCGCGACCTCATCCTGTGTCAAAGGTCAAAACCAGACAGAGTCAACCGGATGAGAAAGTGGAGCAGCAACGCGCTTTTGTACTGGATGAGGACACGGATTACCCTTTACCCCCTAATTCTCCCATATTTGGCACAATACCGGAGCTGAACATCTCCAAATCTTCGAAGCTGCCCGGTCGCGTCGCTTCCAATGACACGTTCATGTTTGAGCGGCAGGACTCAGATCAAGATGCAGAAGTTACTTCTTCTACGGATGGAGATCCCTCTGAGCAGGTGAGTCTGTTTATTTCAGTCTCCCTGTTTTCCATTCATCACTCGGTATTCTGTGAGATCAGAACGCGTCCCTGAGGTATCGCGGCCAGCAGGTGGCGCAGTTTCATCGCGTCAAAAGGCGGAGCGCTCGGTCACGGGCGCAGCTTCCTTCTGTGGCAGCTTCCTCTTTTTTCAGAACAGCATAACCGATCCCAGAACAGCATGAAGCGGCAAATACCCGTCTCCTCGTCCATATGCGAATCCCATTTAAATGAGGATCGTTTATGCGTTTTGCCGCTGAAGAATCGAGTAATGTTATTGTTTAATTTCAGATGACGTTTTCACAAATTTGAATTAATGGATTTAGGACCCATCTTCTCCACCAAGGGATCCAAGTGTCATTACAAAACACAAAAAGGACACATTTTCCATAACACTGAATTTCTCACTTGTTGCATGTAGTTACATGCCTCATGTTCAAGAGTAATGTGACCAAAACACAGCAGCATCGCCCACCTAATCTCACTGTCAAACAATGTCCTAGTTGTTTCACTTCCTGCTTTCAAGAGAAACAAATACCTACTTTGATTCAATGTTTACATTGGTTTATCGGATGATTATGTTTATTTTGTTTGTATGTTGATAGGAAGACATTTTCACAACTCTTGAATACCAGTCAGGAGTAATATTTAAAGTTTAAAACTTGTTCAGCAAAACATAACAAAGTATTCAAATGAGTATTACTCATCATAACCACAAGTTCACTTTTGTGTGATTAGTCAAAGTGGAGCTAAATATATTTACGCTACCCAGTGATTAGTTGATAGATTGTTGGTTGATAATTCATGTGTTGGGTATTTTTTAAGGTAATTATAAACAATAAAAGAAAATATAGTTGACACTGGACTAAAAAGTACAATATTTCCTGTGGACTCAAAATAGTTATTGAGTCAAAAACCTTCGCCAGGGGTTTTGTTAGAAGGATAATTAATACTGTTTAAATGGGCTGTTCCTTAAATATAAAACCTCTGTGCAGAGGAGAGCCATTGTATTTGAGATGCCCAAAAGCATAAATAGGATATCATGCCGGCTTGAATTCACAAAGGTAAGAAAGGTTTATCTTCTTCCCTCACAAACAATACTACAAAAAATCATTCATGACTGCAAAGCATCAGTTACTCTCAGCTTAAAGATATATGAGAAATGAAATGATGTCACTGGTTGTTCATATTCTTCAATGTGGTTTGAAATACTTTGAATTTAACTTCCTGATCTCAATATAGTCCATTTAAAAGAAGTAAGAAGTAGAAGCCAAAGAAGTAAGGCTATTTAAAATGGCAAAGTGCTATGATTAGGCAATTATAGCCTATTTATTATATTAACCATAACTTTTCCCCAAATAACATAAAAACAGGCCAGCTGAGTGTCTTACTAGAAGGCTATATATTATAGTATTGGTTTACTACGCTTGTAGATGGCTGCTTAATGTAACTACTTGTATCGGTATGTGTTTTTCCAGAAACTAAATAATACAATATCTCTGAAATGTCAACAAGGCCGAGATCCTCCTTGCGGCACTGCGACGCAATGGCAGGTCTGTGGCAGTCGGCAGTCAGGAGTCACAACAGTGACACCCGTTCGGCACCTGGCCTGCCCACCGGCTTCCCACCTGAGGTGCCACAGTCCGGATGCCAGGCTGATGCCGCTGCCACATACATGCCACAAGGAGGATGCCGCTGTCTCTCTGAAATGTAGCAAATAAAGAACTTCATGTAACATCACAATACATCACACGTAGACACAGTTGATTTGCATGACTGCAAATAATCCAATTTATGATGATGATGCTTCATGGTTCATGGCGTCTACATTACCCACAATGCATTCTGAGGTGTTATGCTAATAACGGCTGAACGATAGGTGTATATAAGCAGAGAATGGCAGGCAGGTTACAGAAGTCTGGCAGGCTAAATTATTATTTTTAAACGGATTTTTAAAAAATTTACATATTCGCAGCTCCGACCGACGACGCGTGAGTGAAATCACCGCGGTTCATAGCGTCAATCATCAATATTCTCATACAAGGGAGCGGTGGTACTTTAACTACCTTTAAACCCCATCTGTGTGAAATAACTTTTCAACCACTGTCCTTGAGCAAATGGTCTTAATTGTTCCCCGCCGCCGGCTACGCTTCGCTTGACCGAACCACTCGTCGTCCTCGCGGTGTGAGTCCGCAGCATCCGGGCCAGCGGCTCATCAGCATGTGAATGAACGGCCCCTTCGCGCGCCCCTTCACCGCAAGGTCTCTGATTTGGGTTCCGCTCATCGAAGGTGTCTCTGCGGCTGTGAAGTCGCCCTTTTGTGTCGGTGTACTTTTACCGCGTCACCGTACGTTTTTGTTGACACAACAGGAGGAGTTTTGTTTTGTTTTCTTCATTTTCTTATTAACTTTTATCAGGGGCGGTGTAATGTCGCTGTTGGTCAGTGACGTCACTCGAGAACAGGTTGCGAACAGGTTTGAGGAAAGAGGAAGCTGTTAAAAAGAAGCCGACAGCCACTCCCAAACCTGCCGCGGCCACCTGGTGTCCCCGGAACAGAGGACCGAATCCTGGGATCCGCGACGAGCCGCGCTGCCGGGGGAGGGAAGGAGGGAGGGACGGGAAACGCGATGAAGCCTTTGCGGACATAAAGCTCGTCCCGGCCCGCTCCTCCGCTGGATGCTGTTGGTTGAATAAAATAAAGTGAAAACTACTGCTTTTTTCCGGGTAAGTTTGGCGGCCATTGTTGTTTGCACCTGTTGCAAGGTGACGGGGACACGCGACGTGTTGAGTGCAGCCTCTCCCAGTTTACCCAGTGGATGTGTGCATCGTACCACCGTCATTACCCGTGTGTTTGCTTTAACGACGGTCCTTCGGCACTTTTAAACACAATTAGACGTGTGAATTCCGACGGTTATCTTGAAAACTTTACATTTGCTGCGTTTCTGAGTGATTCAGGACTGCAGACGTGCCAGGACCCCTCAAGTAGAGTAACCCCACCACCCTACAATGGAAGGCCGTCTCCATGGTGACGAGAGGGGGCCTGGCCTGACTCCCAACCAGCAGGGCCTTTAGAGCTGTCAGTGCCAGCTCTGTCATGCTGTTGGCGTGTGCGTGCATGTGCAGAACTTGCAATTAGCCCCCGAATGTAGGTCGCTTAATATCAAGGGGAACGTGGTGTGCTTCTGTTGTCTGGAGGGGAAGGTTAGGTTTGGTAAGTGGATGAGAAATCCGTTTTTTGGGGGGGATTTAGAATCCAAAGTGTGGCGAAGCCAACTCCACTGGTGCGCATTTAGTTTGGCGATGACATTGTTCTTATCGTGGATTATTTATATATTACGTTGCGTTCATTGTTGAAGTTGTTTATGGTACCAGTGTGACTGTAACAACCTCTCCTATAAGTTCCTGATGAATACTAATGTCCAAACAAATCTTTATCCCTCAAATGTTCAGATAATTTACAGGAGGGCTCTGGAAGCTCACATCCCTCTTTGGGAAGTAAAAAAAAAACAGAAGTGACTTCTGTTTTTGTCCTCCTGTGCAACGCGATTATAGGAGTGCAGCGCTTAGTGAAACAGACCGAAATCAAATGCCAAAAAAACTGCTCCAACAGGTCGTGTGAGATCCTCAGACGAAACGCAGGTGTCCGCCAAGTGAGTAGGAACAGGTGTCTCTTCAGCTGCCCGGGATGAGTCTTTCCTTTACACCGTTCTTTGGGGGAAATTGTACGTAAGTGAGATCAGCGATGCGTTTTGCTATTCAACCTGTAAAGAGTTGAGCTTTTACAAGCGGCCGTTACGTCACACCGGTGTGTGTTTGTTGTTGTGTTGCAGGCTTTTCACCTGAACTGTATCTGTATGAGCACCTCCGGTACAACGTGACAGTACATAGAGTTTCCTCTCAATGCATTGCATTCAAGTGACACAGCTTAAGGAAGAAATTTATCAAACTAACGATCTGAAGGAAAAAATATATTTAAACTGATGCCAAATAATAATAATGAAAAAAAAGACATTAAAGCAAATTCTGAAGTTCAGACTTTTTTTGTCATTTACAAATTTACTGAATATTCTGTCAGCCGTATGAATAGAAAAGTTTTTGACAAAATTGGAACTATGTTCAGATCAACGGGTGTTTTTTTGTTAAACGAGTTTGCTGTTTAAAAGGCAGCTGGGTGTTTATTCCTCGTGAAAACTGATGCTTAACTCAGTCAGATGAACACAAGGGGCCCAAACATTATGACGGGTTTCATAAACAATTTGATTGTGGGCTGCAGGATTGTGGGGTGCACACACCCAGCATTGCAAAGCAAAGTCAGCTTTTCTCTTTACTTTTGGTCGTCTTTTATGTGTCCTAACAGTATGCCGGATCCTTTGTCCGTACGGTTGCATGAGCTGCGTCTTTGGGAGTGTCTTTTGTACAATTAGTACTTTTAAATTGTTTTAAGTGACAATGATCTTGCTTGATTTCAGTCATCCTGTCCTTCAGTGCGGCCCACCTTAAATACAATGACGCTGAAGTCCTGAATACTTTAGTGCAAACTGCATATAATCTTTCTGGCACCTGCAACCAAATGTCAAGGTGGCACCTCTTGTAAACGTGTGGGAGTGTGTTGCCTCAGAAAGCATTGCAACAGCTGGTCCTTTGATATTGACGCGATAAGCTCATGGTTTTCACGTTGGCTCTTTTCTTTCTCCTTTGATTTTTTTGGGCCGTTATCCTGGATTGTGGGCCATGAGGAGTGTGATGTAAGAGGAGGCGGAGCCAGATTCCATCAATAGCTTGACTGTGTGCTTTGTGGCGCGATTTGGGCCCCAAATTGGCCCTCCATTGTTTGATTGGATGAGCGCTAATGTGGTGAAGTAATCAGTTGCTGCTGCTTGTATTGCTTGGGAAGGGAGGTGTGTGTATGTGTGTGTGTGTGTGTGGGGGGGGGGTTGTTCACAGATGAGGATGGAGATTGTGCGCAAAGTTTGTTTTACACGGTCTAAAAGAAGACACTTTTCCCCAGCAGAGAAATCCCAGGCGTAATCTCAAAAGTCAGACCTAACAGATAAGGTTTTCGGGGGGGGGAGGGGGGGTTCAGAGGTGCATTTGAATGGATGCCTGTAATCGCCAGCAAAAGGAGACATTGTTATGCAAAGTTTTGGGTTCAGCCTTGTATTTCAGGTTCCTACAAGAACAAGTTAACAAGCTTTAATACAAAACAACCTCTTTCATATTTCTCAAACTGTATGTCTGAATATACTCGTATCCGCACCGTTGTCCGAAATGCTATGTTTTAGTTTATTTTGGCGGCACTGCGTTGCCAGGCAACAGCGTGGTCCCTGTCAGCTGATGTCACACGAACACAGAAAGCGCAGATAAACCGGGACACATTTAGTTTTTGCGGTTTAATCCGCTCTTTAATTAAAATAGTAATAATACCGAATACTTTTTAACAATACGGTGACTTTAATACACTCCCTCAGCATAGATTCACCAAAGCCACGACACGCGCTGGACGCAATCGACAAGCACAAATGTACTACATGAACACAAGAGTTACCCACAAAGCCCCAGGCTTGACATTTACCCCCCCCAGCCCCTAAAAAACTCGCTCTGCCCGACGCCTGCAGACTCGCTGGCGTTGCCCCACATTCGAGGAAGTGATGCTCCCCAAACAATCAGCCCTGAAACCAGACTTCCCGTCGGCAGACTCCGCAGTCCGAACGGCACTTCAGCCTCATCAGAGAGGGTCCGAAGCTGAGCGCCGAGCACCTCTTCCTCGCTCTGTGACGTCCTCCTGTGAGCGCCGCTCCGAGCTGAAGGGCGCCTGCGTGGTTTCCATGCAGACATTTCCTTTTTCAATCATATAGGCGCACGAGCAGGAAGTAGGTTGGCGTGACCTGCAGCGTCTGCGCTGCTTCCTCGATCCAACGCTCCTCTCCATCTTGTTTTCATGGCCTCTTTCTGCTTTCAGCTCCACATACAGTTGACCCCCCCCCCCTCTCACCTCCCTCCACTCACACACACACACACCGACCCCCTACTCTGTGCACAAGAATCCACGCATGTGAACACACACTCACACACGCGCGCACACACACACACACATCTCACCCGGTCCTCACACTGCCTCTTCCTGCTACTCTTGTAACACAGCTCACAGTTCTCCTTTCTATCCGCGCTGCAAGTGTAACGGCGAGAGAGAGAGAGAAGCGAGGCGTTCACCGCCAAGTCCAACGCGGCCACACGCCTCGAGGAACTTTAGTTTGGGGCCGTGCGTTTGTGTGCGTTTGTGTGCGCGTGTGGCTCCATGGCTGCTTTTGGATAGAGAGAAGTGACCATGGTGGACATGTACTCCGGCGTCTGGGCAGGTCACAGGGCCAAGCGCGGCTTGGCTCTGCCAGCGGCTTCTCAGGTAGGCCGTCGCCGCCACATCGCTGTGGCTTTTTATTGCTGTAAATTGTGAGTCTTCGCTGTCTTCGTGCTCCACGTAGATTTGTGTTTTGATTAGCGACCCGCTTCTTGCTTTGAGTAAACGTGCCTCCAATACACCTGTTTCTGTTCTTGTGCTGAAGCAAAGCGGGATGAATAAGTGAACTTAGTTTCGATGTTAGTGAACACTCTCATGTGGTCTTTGGTCTCTTTTTCATCTGAGATTTGCAGACAATTTCCATTTGCTGTCTATGAATACTTAAGTCTGAACTACGGTTACGATGCCGATATACAGCATGTATACTGCATTTAAACAATAAAAAGTGATGCAACGTTTTGAAAAAAAAAAAGTGTTGCTTTTCTTACGTTATTTTACTTTTTGGCGAAAAAGTTATCTCATCCTTAATAAACAGAGTACATTGTGTTTGCAGGCTCGTACTCGTACTGTGTTTGCAGGCTCGTACTCCGTGGGTTCTCGCTTCGAAGCGATGACAACCTATCGCACATTTGCATCATAGCGTTTGTTGATCTGTTTGCACAGCTGGGGCGTTGCAGCGTCGCTATTTCAGAGATCAATGATGAAGCTCTTTCATTTCCTCTGTCTGCCGCTCTGGAGGCGCGTTGGGCGCTTTGGAATCAATCTGTTCAGAGGTCATTTGTCTGGTTGTGCGCGTCGATCGCCTTTTGATCAGGTCGAGATCGATGAGGAGGCAAAGTTGGCAAAGTGATCGCATTGAATAGAAGGAGGAAAAACACCGCTGTCAAATCCATTAGGAGGAAATGCATTTTGTTTTGATCACTTTGATCTATATAAGTATTCATAGCGATGCTCCTCTGCAAATGGCACGCTTGATATACAAAATAACTTCAGCAGGAAATGGTCAATTCCTTTTATGGTGTTGAATCATACATACTATATGTTTATATATATATATATATATATATATATATATGTATCATTTGCATATATATATATATATATATATATATATATATATATATATATATATATATATATGCAAATGATACATATATATTACAGGATTATATACACAGCACTTATATACGTAATGTATAAATATCATTTTGCTACGTTGATTGGAATCCCGCTACATTAGAAGGATTCTGAAGGTCAGGTCTACTCCTATTCGGTTTCTAGGTTAGGAATATTAATACTGATCTTTAATGAGATTACTGAAATACAGACCTAAATGACTAGATAAGGAGAGACAATGTGCCCTGAATAAAGCATCTGCCTCCAGTGTTGTAGACGAATAAAGTAGAATAACACTGAAATACTCAAGTAAAGTATCTCAAAGGTTTAAGAGGTGCATGTACTTTGTTTCCACCGGTGCCGTGTTGTACACTCTTGACATATCCCTCCTTAAAGGCACTGCACATTCACCAGAGTGATGAACGGATGCAGCGTGCAGACACACACACGCACACACAGGGCTCAGGCCCTGGTAAATATAGACCATGAGGCTAGCTGACAGACAGTTAGTCTGAACCAGCGAAGTGGCATCATGAAGGCGTGTGAAGAAAGGCTCTGCGAGGCGACAGCAGTGACGAAGTGCTGCCCGCGCGGAGCCCCGGTGAGAAAATATTACTATCTTTTTAAAATACTGGCGCGGGTCGCATGAAGGGGGGTGCAGGAGAAACCCTTCCTTGCCCGAGGCTTCCTGCAGGAGCCCAGTTTCTCTTTTAATTGTTGCTCTTTAAACAAATGGGTTGTGAGGATTTGCATTTGCATCTCGTGGCTTCGCAACCTGCTTTTTCTGTTTGTCTTCTTCCTTTTCAAATCTAGCACCCATTGCGGTTCAGGCGAAGCACGCGCAGACACGCACAGCTCGGCTCGAGAGAGTCAGGCTAAGGCCTGAAGCAGACGTGACCCGTGGACATTGTTTTCGTACGGGCGCATGAAACCGTGTGCCGTGGGTGTTTTTCACAAGCGCCTAGAGTTTGGTAATGATCCGTATTGCTGCAGGAACGCCTTCGTGGAGCGTGCCTTTTTTCTTTTGTTTTCTACTGTGGGCTACTTCCTGTGCTCTGCTGCTCCGTCAGATGCGGAAGGATGACATACTGAAACGTGTGGTGCGGTGGGCGAGGCCGAAAGGCCGGTACTTAGTCTCGTACAAGTACACCAAACACTGTCTTCCAAGATTACTTGCAAACTTGCATACTTAAAACAGACTGAGACCCAAACACACACAGACACACACACACACACACACACACACACTCACAGACAGACTGTTGCAGACTGCTGCTTCAGCTTTGTGTGAAAGCACTTGTTCCTGTTCTTCAGTTTCTACACCTGTCTTTTTTTGGGCCTCTGCGCAGGTGGAGAATGAAAGTCTGCGGTCAGCCGTGTACGTCAACGTAACGCAACTTCGCCAAAGCACCTCCGAGTCCCCGCCGTCGCCCGACTCGTTCTGCCCCGCCTCCCAGCCGGACCCAGAGGGATGGGAGGTGCACGTTGACCGGGACAGCGGACAGGAGTACTACTACCACCCGGCCACGGGGCGCACCACCTGGGACAACCCCTTTCTGGACTCCCCCACGGACCTCGAGCCGCCCCCTTCCCCCTCGCCCCCGCAGTCTCCCGCCCTTTCTCCGGGCGCCGCCTCGCTGCCCGCGCCGCCCTCCGACTGGGAGCAGTTGATGGATGAGAGCAGCGGTTGCACCTACTTCTACAACACGATGTCCGGGGAGACGTCCTGGGACCCGCCGGAGGAGCTGAGCCCGTACCCCCTCCTGACGGAGCCCATGAGCGTGCACAGGTTCCTGGAGGACGTGCCGGTAAGGACGGCCCGGCTGCTCCACTTAGTCTCCATCTGTCTCCTGTTTTAGCTCCACCCTGGGGAAAGCTGTTAATGCGGTCCTCTTGTAATGGAACTGAATCCCCTGCACCTCCAAAGCAGACAGGACTGGTTCCACATTAGCAAAGTGCGCAGCTCCAACGCGGAACAGTAGTGCCCACAAGTTTGCAAGGCATTTGTCCTCATTTTGAATTTGTTTTATTACGATTTCAGACAGTCGGGGGGATTCAAATTATATCGTTCCAATTCTTTTTTACATGATGTGAATATCCCACAGACATTATTCAGCCGTTGGCTTCCAGTGTTTTTTTCCTCACAGGCGAGCCCACAAGTGACCCCTTTTTCTGCCTCTTAATGACTTTTGTGAGCCAGAAAGAAGTACTTGGAGGCCACGGAAATGCTGTGACTTCTTTATCAGTGTCAGGGAAAAGTGATTGAGCGTCTGGGCCGTGGCGGGAAAGCATTCCTCTGCCATTGTTTGGGGAGATTTAGCAACTTTTTTTTGCCAGCGTGTTTGTTGTCTAGCCAAGACTTGGGTGAGAAGATCGACACCGCTCTAGTGGGTTTAGCTTAGCACAGTGAATGTGAACCAAGGGAAACAGCTAGCCGCGCTCTGTAAAAAGCTCACAGAAGCCGAGTACCTGCGGCGATAAAGCTCCAGAGAGAAATAACCTTGCTGGCCAAACTGAAACAAACTGTGACCTAAATAATTTACCACACATGGACAAACCTAAACCTAAAAATGTTTGGTTATTGTGGCGAGCTGCACCTAACTGCTCGTTGTTGTGTTAGCGGCATGAAAGGTTCTGGTCAAAAAGTAACTCCGACAACATTACAATAATAAAAACGAGAGTAAAATCATAAAGTAATGCTAATGAAGGAGAACAGAAACATTACAAACTGTTATTTGTGAAATACTGCACGGTTTTCCTGCTTCAGGACTCCAAAAGCAGGTCAAAGGTCGGTTAAACCTTCACAAAACCTGTTCTCGTGTTCTCACTGTGTGTCCGTCCCCAGCCTCCCCTCCCCCAGGAGGACTACCCCACGCAGGACTACCCGGCCGCTGACCATCCAGAGGCGTCCGAGGACCTGCTCGCCGCGGGGCCGCCCACCCTCCCTAAAGAGTACAGCTTCAGTCACATGACCCGGACCGCCATCCCCCGGGCCAACCTGGACCGCAGCGCGCCGCCCGGGTGGAACCTCAGCGTGGAACCCGACGGGACCTGGGTGTTCACCAACGAGCATTCCCCGGAGCAGGTAGCTCCACGGGGGGATCCCACTGCAGTCAAGACCTAGATGTTATGAGATATTTAGTTGCATTGGTTTGAACCGTCTCTCATGTAGAACTTTTTGTTGTCTCACAGTGGATCAAGTCGGTGGATGATCGAGGGCAGACCTACTTCTACCTGAGAGACGGCTCCAGGTCTCAGTGGGTCCTGCCTGAGGTAAAGATCCCCCGCTGGAGACGGAGGTGCCACTCGGCACACCGCGTTCCAAACATAAGCTCATCTCGTTTTTTTCCCCCAATACTTTTAACTACGACTAAACCAAGCGACTCGCTCCCTGCAGGTCCCTGCAGCTGCTGGTCGGTTGAGGATGGAGAATGGCGGTGAGGCGGGCAACCCGTTGGCCGCCAAAAACTGGAGGCACACCATGGCACCTGAACAGCTGAGCTCGGCCCTGGATGAAGGGGTACACAACACCGTCACGCTTTCACTCACACTAGACCTGCCGGTACACGTGCATGCTGTCTCACAGATCCAGGGTGTGTCCTCCGGCTGGGACGGAAAGCTTTAGTCAGCCAGGAGAAGGGAGGGCACGCCCAGGTTTTTACTCCCTTATTTAGAAAGGCAAATGAACTGCACTCGTATTTACAGTAACTGCAGAGGGAGGGAGGGAGGGAAGGGGAGGGGGACAAGTGCAGGGTTCTTCCCACTAAAAAGTCACGAGGTTCAACGCCTGGCTCAAGGGCGCGGGGTAATTGTGTTTGTAGATGTGTCTCCGGTGTGGGGTTGAATTGGGTGCGTACGCGGTGGGGAATCGCACCGACCGGCCCGAAAAGAATGTGGACACCTGACACTAGACCTGAGAATAGGACAAGTCTCTCCAAGACTATGGACACTAAACTGCTGCTACAGAAACATCCAGATTTTATAACCTGGCTACCTTTCCGCCACTAGAGTGGGCACTTCTACATTTTACTCTTTGACTTTTTCTGCTTTGGTTGATTCATATTAAATGTAATAGTGATGGTGATGTTAATGTATTATTGCACCATTAACATGTATTTTACTTTAAACCTAAGGGGTCCAAACTGTGATGAACCCTTATTGTGGCTTTTTTTTCAACCCAAAGAAGAGAATTGATGTTTGAAAGAAGCTCTAGGGATTTTTATATATCTCTTTTTAAAAATATCTATATTTTTAATATTTGAGGAATTAACAAAACCATAGAGGTCAAAATATGGACTAAATAAGAGAGCAAAAGAACAATGTGTTGTTATGCCATGTTGATTGGGTTTTCTTTCTACCCTGGAGACCAGGCGCAGATCGTTCAAAGACATGTTAATCTGACAGTTATTCTAAACCAAATCTCATTCTGTTGTTCAGAGGTTCGTACCGACTCACAGGAGGAACACCTCGGACTACAGCAGCGACAGCTCCAGCGCAGGAAACTCTCCGGAGACGCAGCAGAACGTGAGTGGAATCCGTCCGCCGACGCTCGTTACTGCAGAATAACTCGAGGCCCGAAAAGATTCAGCAGTGAGCTTCCTCGTATCTGATCGGCCTTCTGTCTCTCTCTTAAGGCTTTTGGGTTTAGACCCTGGAGGAACCCCTATTATCTGACCTCCAAGTGGCTGCGCTATAACGTGGGTTGTTTGTTTCACCCGAGCTCGACTCATAGATAGCAGAGTCTTATCTATGACTGGCGAAAGGTGTGAATTTAAATCGCTCGAGGAGCGCTTGTTTCATTCCCCCGCATCAGAGCGCATGGATTCCCCCTGCTGGGGACGCATGTTTTCAACCACACCGCCCACCTGACAAACCAAGAACAGCGTCCGTTGGTTAAATATTTGTATTAGTCAAATATCTGCTTTGAATCGTTATTTGTGTTTTGCTCCTGAGGTTTATAAATGAACCCAAACGTGAAATCAAATCATATTTATTCAATGAGTATTTCCTCCATATACATTCCTCTCAGTTTCTTACATTTTGCACAAACGTCCACATTAACTGCAGGATTGGGAGCACTCACTAGAAAGTGTTTTACTGAAGATAGTCCCCAACAAATTCACTAATTATTCTGGTTAAAGTGGCATAAAATAAACAAACTCCATATAATCTGTTGATTTAGAAAGTGAAGTCCTTGTTTGTCACAGTTCATCAAACAATCCAAACAGCCATCACTTCCTCTTGGGAAAGCCGCACGGTGACTGTAAACGTATAGAGGGATGAGGATATTCTGCACAGGACTAATTCATGCATGCATGCATGCATGTGTGGCTCAAGGCCGACCTGAACTGTGTGTCCCTCACATCAGCACCTGGCATGACTTTCCTCCTTACAAATGAGCCCTTAAGAGTTACAGTGTTGTGACCTTTTCAGGTGCAGAACTTGGAGAAGGCCGGAATTCTCAACAAAACAAAAGTGTGTGAGAACGGCAAGAAAGTCCGGTAAGCTACAACTCTCACCGCTTGTTTTTTTGTGTGTGTGTTTGGAGTCATGTGACCCCCCCTCTGTCCCCGCTGTTGCCTCGCTCAGTGTTTGTGACTGTTATTCCCTCCTTTGTGAAGGAAAAACTGGGCCCAGACATGGACGGTTCTCCACGGAGGAGTGCTGACGTTCCACAAAGACCCGAAGTCTTCAGCAACGGGGACCTTGGTGAGACCTGCACCGAAACATCAATAACAGGATCACTGGCATATTTGTTCGCAGACGCAGTCGACTTTGCTCTCATAAAAAAGCGTGTGAAACGTCACACCTCGGCGCTGCGTCACCTTCATGGGGAATGACGGAACTGAAAGCCACCACTTGTTTAAACGTGACTCGTTTCTTGGAATGGGGCGACGCCAGTTCATTGTAGACAGCTGTGTTGATTCTTTTTTTCTTTTCCTCTTTTCTCTCCACGCAGCACAAGACCAATCAGATCGCTCAGGAGGTCACGGTGGAGCTGCGAGGAGCATCGATTGGATGGGCGTCAAAGGACAAGTCCAGCAAGAAGAATGTTTTAGAGGTGAAGTGTTTCCCACAGGTGCTCTCTGACCACTGGTACGACAGTGCGCACATGTCCGTGTATGCGCGCACGTGTTGCGCGGAGGCGTTTGTTTAATGCGTTAAATTAAAAACACTGAGGTGTGATTGTTGACATGGAACTTATTGCGTGTTTCATGAAAAAATTACACGCCTGCTTGCTTTTTTTGTTGTTGTTTTTTTCTCTCAATTAAAACGCAATCAGAAATTAATATAAAGTATTACGTTTTCTGGGAATGATCTAAATCTAATTCTTAAGTCATAATTTGTACCAAATTTTCTCCCTTTCTCTCTCCTGCAGTTAAAAAGCAAGAACGGCGTGGAGTATTTGATACAGTACGACACAGAGAGCATCATCACCGACTGGCACAAAGTCTTAGTGGACACCATAAGACAGCTGGTAAGTCTGGCCTCCGTCTGTCACTGATACACAAAAAGGCTCCACACTAAACTGCTAAAATTCCCGGCTTATGGAGTTGCTTCAGTCCCTCTATTAAGGCTGAGAAATGACCAAAAACATCACACCACAAAACAAGAACGAAGCAGTGGGTTGCTGTACGTCATGCTTCAGAATACTAGAATGTAAGAAAAAACATTATAATAAAGCCGAAAAGGGTTTCCTCAGGAGGGTGGCGGCCGTCTCCCTTAGAAATAAAGTGAGTAGCTCAGCATTTTTTAATATAATATTTTTATTCATCTTTTAACCAATCAAAATCTATTTTCCAAGGAGGTCCAGGCCGAGGTGGCAGCTACAAATAACAGCACAAAAAACAGACAAAAAAGCAAAGAAATTAAAGTTGCTTAAAACTTTCAGATAAAATAGTTTAGTGATAACCTTCAACTTCAATCAGCGCGGGCTGGAACATTCAGGGTTGAACGATCCTTCAATTAAAGATAGTTGACAGTAGCTATAGTTACAGTTTGTGCAAAATTACCCTATGAAGACTAAATGATCCAACGTTCTGTTCTTCTGGCAAACGGAAGGTTTTTGTTTTTCATTTTGACAGATTCATTTCAGGCAATGCTGCGGCTCCACTGTGAGTGAAGGGTCTGATTGATTGACTACTTTGTGTGTCTGTTCATTAGGAGTACCTGGACCATCCCTCAGAGGAGGAGAACGGCAACATATACGAGAAGATCGTGGAGCGAGAAGAGAAGGTCGTAACCACCATAGACAAGCGAAGATGTAAGTCGAAAAAAAAAAGCAAAAACACATCCATTTCCTTGTTCACCTCCAGGCACGAACCCACTTGGACACATCGGACCCAATTGTGAAGTTACAAATTCTTTAAAAGTCACAGTGTTTGTTGTGTTCTAGCCTCCAGGCAGAGTGTCACACACTCATCCAGCACGGACCAGATGGACCAGAAGCGCGTTCGGACCAAGCTGATGAAGTTCCTCATGAAGCGGCCGACGCTGCAGGCTGTGAAGGAGAAGGGCTACATCCGAGGTAATGACACGGATCAGGGCTCCTCAGGCTCATTTGAATAGGAGCTGACGGAGAGGCGACTTTCACTCGAGCGGACCTCGAACGCACGCACCGTTCGGGCCGATGCGTTTTATTCTAACACCAGTTTCTGTGTTTGCCACCACGCATTTCATATCAGTTCACCGCTGACACGCGGATATTTGTTTTGCAGGAAGACAGCAAAAAAAATAAAAATAATAACAACAAACAGGTTTATGAGATAACTACAATGACAGTAGAGACAGTTCATTAAGTATTAGAACTAAAAGCTCTCGGACCAGCACAAACAATTCACTTTTACAAAGACAGTTTTACTTATTTATTTCGTACTACCATCTGATATTGTACTGCAGTCTTTATGCTATATGAGTATGATAACACATTGTGTTTACTTTATTATTTACCGGCCTATTAATTTACTACTCATTCCTTCCTGGATTTCTGTCTGTATATTCATTCTTTATTTGTCATTTATTTATATTTTCTCCCCCCCTGCAGACAACGTGTTTGGCTGCCACCTGGCCACTCTGTGTGCGCAGGAGAAGACCACCGTTCCTAGTTTTGTGGAGAAATGCATCAACGCAGTGGAGAAGAGAGGTACGTTTGAGTGCCCCGTCCGAATCTGGTTAGGAGTGTTGTCATGGCTGCGTGCGGCGAAGACGTTGACTCACCAACGTGTCCGACGTGCAGGTTTAGACATCGATGGACTCTACAGAGTGAGCGGGAACCTGGCCGTCATCCAGAAGCTGCGCTTCAAGGCCGATCACGGTGAATATCCCGACAAGTTTAAATTAGCCGATGAGTGTAGAAGAGGCGGACGGCGGCGCCCTGCTGTGCTCTAACGGGCCGTGTGCCTGTTTTGTTAAAACAGAGGAGCTGAACCTCGAGGACGGCCAGTGGGAGGACGTTCACGTCATCACCGGAGCGCTGAAGCTGTTTTTCCGAGAGCTTCCCGAGCCGCTTTTCCCATACAGCCATTTTAACAACTTCATCGCAGCCATCAGTAAGTCTTAAATCTAACCCTAAAATCTAATTTGAACACACTGTGTTTGTCTGTGAGGTCTTGTTACAAACTATACGTACATCACAGTTAATGAACTTATTAGGGATTGGTTGGTGTATTATATATACAGTACAAGTCAAAAGATTGAGCACATTTCCTCATTCAATTCAATGAGTGTGTCCAAACTTTTGACTGGTACGGCGTAACTAATCAATAACTTTTACCCTGTTTTTTTTTTAGGAATTCCTGATTACAAAACAAAAGTGTCTCATATGTACGAGCTGGTGAAATCACTTCCTCCTCCCAATCATGACACCATGAAACTCCTTTTTGGGCATTTACGCAGGTATTTTTATTTAAAAATAATAATATTTAAATTGGTGTCTGTTCCCATTAAACTCATAACTGACATTTTGACAGAAAAAGTAAAAATTATCCTTCATTTTCTTCTCTCGCAGGGTCATTCAATACGGAGAGGACAATCGCATGACTGTGCAGAACGTGGCGATCGTGTACGGCCCGACTCTGCTTCGGCCGGAGACGGAGGCCTCCAACATCACCATGCACATGGTCTTTCAGAACCAGATCGTGGAACTCATCCTGAACGAATACGAGCGCTTCTTCTACTCCAGCTAAAGTGGTCGGAAGCCTCCGGTGCAGAAGCCTCCGGTGCAAAAGCCGGGCTAGAAACGTCTCTCAACGTGCTCGAGTTGTCAGACCAGCTAGATTTCCCCTTCTCGCATTCACACAAACAGCTTCAGTGCAGCAGCCGAGGTGAAACTCCTTTTGTAAGATAAGTTTAAGGGCTCTTTAGGTTTTCTTTGCTCAGAATATGTGAGATTTAACCACGTTTAAAAAAAAGAGTTAAAAAAAATCTTCCAATGGGAATATTTAAAGCATGCTTAACCACTGTTTAGTTCACACGTAGTCCGTACGAGGTCGGGCGATAGATCCGTCTTTGGCAGTATTGTAGTGGTTGACTTACACAAGCTGCTTGTGCGGGTTGAAGAAGGAGTGTTATCAGATTGCTCGAGCTGTCTTGATCTCACAAAGTCACTTTCTGGAGATTTTAATTGTTTATTTTGTATTTTTGCTCCTTGCCAAAATGACAGTGATAATAGAACCCAAGCCGAGGCTGGACGGATGCATTGATACTCTCCTAAAGAAATGATCAATGATTGCTAGCATCTTTATTTTAGAAATTACTTTTAAATATTGTTTTGAATTTGAAATTCCCGTATGTCACGTATGGCAATAACTAATATTGTATTCTAATATTGTGTCATTTTTACCCATGAATTTTAATGTAATATAAGAAATGTATTATAAGAAATATTAAAACGAACATGTTGCTGTGAAATAGATGATGACATAGAATACTTGTGCAACTTATAGATTATTTTCCACTGGATAAAAGAGCATATTCCAAATCACGCTGTCCTTGAAGAAACTGTATAATAACACGGAAATATAAACTAACAATTCATTTTTTGACGGTAAAATCAGTTTGCAGGAAACAGTGAAATGGATCCTAGAAGAGATGAATGACCTGTAAATAGAAATAGGTGGTATAATAATGCAGAATGTTGTTCACATTGCACAAGTTGTTACATAATAAAAAATAACTTTGTTAAAAAAGTACAGCTGTTTATTCTAGTCATTTTAGAAGGCTCATTAAAATGAACAACAGGCTGTTTTCACCGCTATGTGGTATTCTGAAAATTCAATTCTTAGTTGACATGGAACCCTTTTTAACAAGCACAGTATATATACAGTACATACAGCTAGTTATTTTCGTATTAGACAAAGTATCAAGCGCCATAACATGGTTTTCACAGATTACTGGTCTGGTTTACATACTTACGTGTTTTTCTTAGTGACCTGCTGCATGCAATCCACATGACCTTTATAAGATATGTGGTTTTACTCAGACTGTAATAAACCCCTGCACTTACATATAGTCATGTATGTATCCATGTTTATTGTATTCTATATTTAATATAATTATTTATGGGTGCAATTTCTTTTTGCGGCTTTTTGTAATTTTGTTAGTTCTGTTTAGTTAGTCGGAACCATTTAAGGGGCGGACGCTCTTCCGGAAGCTGTCAGCTGTGAACATCGCATCAACTGCAATGAGTTTTGAGTGGCCCTGGCAATACAATTTCCCACCGTTTTTTACGTGAGTCAACTTTTACTGAACCAGATTTAAAGCATCAACCAACTCCGCCAACCAGCCTCCGTTGTTTACTACTCGTTGAATCGTAGCGCGTGGCTTTAACGAGCCTCCGTCACGTCATCCCGGCTACCCGGCTAAACGGTAGCACAATGCTAAGGAAGTGGGTTTATCTTTCTACCTGCTGGCTTTCTGAAGTCTACGTGTCAACCGCACCTGTTGGTCCGTGAAGGCTCGGCTGCTGGCGGACATTTACAAACATCAACATGTGGTTAATTAACGCCGGTGTGGGCGAGTTGAGTTTAACGTTAGCTGTTAGCACTAGCTAGCTGTTTTGATAGCTGACTCGGTGTAGGCTGACAGAACAAGAGTACACTACGTAATAAACAACACAATCTGTGACGCATCATAATAAGCGGCATGGCCGCTGGTTATTTCACACGTGGGATGCCTCTGCAAATGTGTTTTTAAAATGTTTTTATTTGCGTCATTTTTTGCACACTATTATAAAAATATCACCTTTCAAAATGCATATCACAAAGGCTTAAAATAAAACCAGCATGTTTTTAAGACACAGATGAATGCATGTAATTTGTAATATTTACACATCACACACACCATCAGGTTCTATACACATGCATTAATAGATGATTTTTGCACAGCTGCCCAGAATGGGCAACCTTCTGGTGCAAAGTCTCCACCAAACCTTTTTTAAATGTAAGTTAAAACCTAAGAAACATCAGGGAAGACTTTCCAATAAAAAATTTTATTTCCTTCTATTTATTTTAGGGGGCTTATCGGAGCTTGCTGGCTCAACGTTAGTCGTGTAGATTCCCTCTACGCTCTGCCCCCTCATAGGACATCGGCTCGAGCATCTCAAAGACTCGTATTGTATTTGGACGCGAGACCCATAAAGAGCCTTAAAAGTGATTCGTAAAATCTTAAAACGTTACTGATCACATTTAATACCAGGAGTGGATTGGTAGTTTGTTGCCATCTTATCCAGTGTCCTTGTTGTTCGTCCTCTGGGGCGATACAGTTTCAGGTCAACACCAGCTGGACGAAAAGACCTCGGTGTTGAAATGAATCAAATGTGACACCGTTACCAAGTGAACACAAGGAGCTCCATCACTTTTTTATAAGATTCTTTCATTCCACTCTACTGCCAAGGCTCTACGCAGGATAATGAGACCTGGAAGCAGAGATTAGCTTCCATTTAACACCAGGCGCTCGGTGAGGTGTGATCAGTCCGGGTTAGTGAGTCAGTGACCATAGTTCATATAATGGAAATCCAGATTATCGTTAAATAGCTAAATCCAAACATCTAATTCAGTTAATTAAATACATGAACATAAATCAAAGTTGCTCATTAATCGTCTCCCGTTATCTGCTGGTTTTGGTAAATCCACAAAAAAAGCAGAAAGCGCTCAAATTTGAAAACTGTTTAATAAAATGGTCTGAATATCATGCATGTGTTGTTTTTAAGCCTTGTGTTGTTTCCCTTTTTGCCGACCTCCTTTTTGCTCGTCTCCTTGTCTCCCTGTGGACAGGCTCCAGCCCAATGTGGACACCAGGCAGAAGCAGCTGGCGGCTTGGTGCTCGCTGGCTCTGTCCTACTGCCGGCACCACAAGCTCTACACCCTGGACGTGATGGAGGCTCAGGAGAGCCCCGTGTTCAACAACAAGAAGATGGAGCGTATCCTTACCGCCCAGAGCGCCGTGTCGCTGTGCTACTTCTGGGCTTGAGGCCTCTACGGTGGGGGGAGGTGATGGACAATGTCTCTGGTCCTGCCGCATCGACGCGTTTATGGGAGTCGAAGGAAGAAATCGAAATGTTGAAATGCAAACGATTATCAGCATTTGTTACTCTTTGTTTTCTTGCCTGCCCTTAACCGAAGTCCAGGAAAACTGTCAATAGAAGCAATTCAAGTGGTGTTTGAGGAATTGAGGAAAAAAGGTGAATTCTCATCCGTCCGAATGTGTAGATTAGGAATACTTGACTCATTGAGAGTACAACACACCTCACTTTATTTATTTTTTCCCCTCCTCCTCTCGAACCTTTCAGGGAACCTGGAGTGGTTGGACAAAAACAAGTCTCGGTGTTTGGTCATGTGGAGGCGACCGGAGGAATGGGGAAAGCTGATCCACCAGTGGGTGAGTCGGGGGGCCTTTCCGGCACACGCCGGTCTGAGCGAGCGCCGCGGGGGGAGGAAAGGTTCTCTCTTACAGGGTGATGACGTTAAAGCCCGGGTTTCACATTCGGTCAGCCAGTGCAAACTCTGTATGCGGTGTTTACACATGATATGTGTAATGTTTACGGACAAATAACTTCATAAGGGAGAAAAGAAGCAGCTTCTCTGTGATAACCTGATTTCCTTGGTATAATGGTGAAGTTCTTTTGGAGAAGCAGATTTCTGTTAAATTGACTGTTTACGTGCACGTGTGTTAAAAGAGAAGGACTTCAGAAGACCGCTGAATTAATAATTCAATTTTCACTACAGTGTTGAACAAACTAATAAAACATATGTCAAGTTTTCATGGTCTTCGTTGTCAATAACTGAAATTCAAAATATGGGCAGTGGTTCAATGTTCGGGCATTGACCTCATTGAAGGCTCTGTTTACATTTATCTAAACAGCCTTTTGTTTTCTAAATCCTCTTTTGTTTTTTGTTTTATATTTCAGGTTTCCAAAAACGGGATGGTCAACTCTGTGTTTACTCTGTACGAGTTGTCCAACGGGGATGACACAGAAGGGGAAGGTATGGCACTATTTATAGAACGTAAAGATGAATAAGAGATGGTACGTTTTGGTTTCAGGATGATAAACGTATTTAAATGTATGATACCACTTGGAATAAGGATAACGTATGTCTCATGAAATTTTGCAGAATCGCTGACATCTTTTAAATCACTTCTTAAAAGTACAAAAATGGGCCTTTATTTAATTTATACTGGAATGAATCTTTTGTTGGTTAATTTTACCCCTTTTTTTTACATCTAGAATTCAGAATCCGCAGCTATTTGTCATAAAAACAATTTGCTTTGGTGTATTGGTGCTTTGCATAAACATAAAAGAAAATGAATTTCAAAATAAATATTATACAACATATTGAATGTGCCAAGCTTCACGGTGACACGGCTGAAAATGTGCAAAGTACAGATGATTATCTTAAATCCTTCCACTTGTGTTATTTCACTGTGGCCCTTAAACCAGCATGTCCTGCATTAGCTGCGTGGATACTGACTGTGCTGCGTCTCCCCAGAGTTCCACGGCCTGGAGGACTGGATGCTGCTGCGCTCGCTGCAGGCTCTGCAAACAGACGGCAAAGCGGAGATCATCATCATGGACGACGGGAAGGGGGTCAAGTTCTTCTGAAGCGGTGCTGGAATCACACACACTCCGCCTGGGAAGGCCTCCTGCTGAACCTCGGGGGGGGGCACGTTTCTCCCGAGGTGCACCTGAATACTGAGCCCAGCGGGCGCACGTCCTGCAGTTGATGTTGCGTTTTAGTTTGTGCAAAGCCGTCTCTTTCTGGAAGAGAACCAATATCTTTCTTTCTTTCCGTGGGAGGGGCGTTCGATGTGACGGCACATTTAACGTTGTCGCCATTTAAACATGCAATGGGCCTTTTTCAGGGGAATGAATACTGTCTGAGCACTCCTGGGGGAAATCTCTCCCCACCAGCTGTTTCTTTATTGTAAATACGACTAGTTTTATCCCGATTTACTTCCCCCTCCCTGTTAACAAATCTCCTCGGCCTTTTTGCTCGGCCGTCCCAAAGAAATCCCAAAACGCAACACCAGGGGGACTTTTTGTTTGGAGAAGAGGGACAACACACAGACTCTGGAACCAGATCCTGGCTCGCAATAGTGGACTTCGTGTACAGATTGCTGTCATCCTATTATTGTGCTGTAGCTTTGGTTATTTCCTCTCTTTCTCTATTTTCAATTTTCTCTCTTTATTTCATATCCTGTCAGAAAATAAATTAGAAATTTGTTATACTCGCTTCCTTTTTTTTTGTTTCCGCCGAGACGCTGTGTGTAAGACACAAACCGTACCGTTAACAGTACCTGGCAGACGTGCACCTCGGTGAAGCGGACGAAACACCTCCAGGGAATCCTTCCTGTGTGTGTCCTCTGACAACAAGCCTGTGTGTGTGTGACAAGTGGGGGCCGGTCAGGGTGGCCTTGGCATATGAAGGTCTCCTGTTTCAGCTTCTGTCCTTGGTGTGAGTCTCTCGGCAGGTGAGACCAACGCGCTGCCCACCTCTCATTCAGGTCGACCCGGTTGACGACAGATCGTAGTGAAATGACTCGTTGATGCAGAGAAACTGGAGATGTTCCGGCCCGGTGAGGGGCCCATTAGAAGAAGACACACTTCCCGTTCTGCTGCGTGCAATGCGAGGTGAACTGTGCGCGCCTGGTACATCTCCAGCCAATTATTACAAAGACATGAAGAAGGACCACACAAAAAGTTTATGCATCCTGTCAAAGACGCTGCCCCTTATTTGACATCTTGACATCTCAAGTCACAAAACAGCCCAAATTTAGATTTTAAAGACCTCGCTGCGCACTAATTAAGCATTAAATGAAAAGCCAAGCATGCAAATGAAATGTTGTGGTTTTAAAAGGTGAATGGGTTGCAAACACTCCTCAAATGCCTCTGTAATTACTCTCCCCCCCCCCCCCCCCCCCCCCCCCCCCCCCCGGTGGAGAGGAGCGGCGCGTCGGAGCTGCGCGAGGGGCGGAGTTGGGAGCGCACGGAGCGTTGTTGATATACGCAGCGCCGTCCTCTCTCACCGCAGGTTAGGGCTCAGTTGAGAGGAGAGAAGAGGCGAAAACTTGAGTATTTGAGGGGAATTATGCGCGAATCGGCGTTGATGTGATCCGTCTTTACGCAGCGGCTGTAGTGCGTAAGTAACGTGCACCTCTCTCGCTGTACCGATGGTGCCATTTCAGATGGGCATGACCAACATGCACTGGGTCGTTGGAGATGTGACACCTGTTATTTTGTGGGCTGCGTGTTTCGTTTATTGCGCTCTCGGCACCACGGAGAAGTAACCCTGAACTTATTTGAACGGCGTCCCCGATGCCCTCTCCACACTTTAGGCTCTGAACCGACGAGGCGTTGAACCTGCCACGATGTCCCACGCGCAGGTTGAGATGCCCGGGCGCGGCTTCCCCGGCCTCTCCGTGGAGATGGAGGACTGCTTGTCCCGGGTGCCGTCCGTGCTCAGGGCGCACGGCGTGGGCGCGCGGAGAAACTCCTACGGGCTGCAGAAAATCACCATGGACCTGGACTCGCCTCTGTACAGCGGCGCCCTCTCCAAAGCCCTGTCCTGGTCCGCCGAGAACATCCCCACGCTGTGCGAGTCCGGGGCGGAGGAGGAGGGAAAAGAAGAGTCCCCTCCGTCGCCGTCCCCCGTTCCCGAGCCGTGCGCCAGCTCCTCCAACGCGGCCCCCGGCGGCCAGGAGCCCGCCGACGCCGGGTCTGTGGTTGGCCCCCGCTGGGACCCCGTCGGCGCTCCTCGGGGCGCCAGCTCGGGGTCCGATGAGGAACTTCAGAGCAAGCAGCTCAGGATCTCCACTCGCGTCCGGCTCCATGCGCAGTGGGAGCAGGAAGAGAAGGAGGACGTGGAGACCAAAGCGGTGGCGACGTCGCCCGACGCGAGGTACCTGAAGTTCAACATAGAGATCGGACGGGGGTCCTTCAAGACGGTCTATAAGGGACTGGACACGGAGACGACGGTGGAGGTCGCGTGGTGTGAGCTGCAGGTAGGGTGGCTGCTGTCACATGGCAACGTTCCACTTGAATTGTGATTGACGCGTCCTGCTGGAGCGCAATTTTTAAATGAAGAATATTGCATTTTATGTGGTTGGCCGAAGAAAAAAAAGAATGATGAATTGAATTCGCAAATTTCAGGCAGTTGTCATATTCTGGGATTGATCTCCTTCGTGTAGCCTGTTGAATTCTTTACCAGCCATATTTTGCTCCACATTATCTGCCCCCAAGCAACCAACCTTGGTCAGGGAACACGGGCTGATACTTTCCCTGCTCTCCTGCCCCACCGCGGCTCTAATCCGCCTCCCTCAAGTCCTCAGAGTGGAGCAGCTAATCCACTGACTTTTCCTCCACTTGACCTTGAGTTGGGCTGTGTTTCCCAGGTCAAACGTGATCCCCTCTAATCTCTGTTTTCATTAACAACCGGTGACACCAAGGCCGGCTCCCAAGAAGCTCCCTAAGTCGGTGTCTTCGGCCGTGGTGATGTGACCAGTCAGTATTTCTTTGTGTGGGAGGGGGGGGGGGTCAGTTTGTGTTCAATGTTCTCATCCTGCAGCGCTCAGATGTCGAAGAGATGACGTTCGGTCCGTCCAGACAGAGGTGACGTTGCTATTGTCTTTTAGGGGGTGGGGAGGGGGGGGTGGTTATCTCCATGGTGGGAATCTGTTCCCTCTAAACATCAAATTTAACTCCACACCACTGATGTTCTGTTGAGAGCCCAGCAGGAGGCCCTCCAAAGGGTCGAACTCCCGCCACCGGCAGGCCGGGGACCCCTGACCCCCAAGAGCCCACCTGTCCGTTCACAGAACAGGTGTCCGTTTGGGGAAGAGAGAGACCGGATGTCCCTTTGCGTGTCCTTAAAGCACGCCGGGGGTTAACGTACGTCAGCCTTCTGCGGTGGGTGACCTTCTGAACCGCCCTCCGTTAACTTCCGCGCAGGGACCAGACTGTGACACGTTGTGTCGCCGCTCTTTGGCCGGGGTCCACGTTGGGAAGAAGGCTCGCCCTTTCATCTCCTGACTCCAGACGTGAGCCCCGTTAAGCTCCCTTAATCGCTCCCAATGAGCTTAAAGGTGGCCACTGTTGATGCGGTCGCTATACGTTGACCTCAGAGACACGGACGCCTTCTCGTCACGGAAATCCCCACCACCGATTTGCTTAAATGAACACAAAAGCTGGCTGTTGGCTAAACACCGTGGCCGCTGTGGTGTCCACGGAGCAGCAGTCGGAGGTGCGTCACCGCGAGTCGGGTTAGAAAAAGTGCACCTGAGCTGTTTTAACCTGGTCGTAATGTAGTCGTCGTAACGCAGTCAAGATCAATGGGAACAAATGAAGACAGTGGCTTGGATTAGTCCCCATTGTAATGGAGACACTCAAAGGTGGCTTCCTGTGTCCCTCCTGCTGCGCTGATCCGCCTGGGCGTCGTCCACGGAGAAACAATACGTTCAGATTCTTCCATGACACGCGACACAAAGGTTCAGCCACGGCGGTAAAAGATACAAGACGTGTCTCACGTCACGGCTCGTAGCTGACACTGAGACTATGATGCAATGGAAAGGAAAAGTCCGAGGCAAACATATGAAGGCCATATGTACTGTAAATAGATACTGATTTATTTATGTGTTTGTCCTTTTCGAATTTGGACATGGAACATTGACTGTTGCATATGTTCATTGTTTTTAGCCAAAGGAAGTTTCCATCAGTGGTCCCTTGATGGTCAATCATACGTTAATCATTTTCTGCTTAAAGTCAGAACATATAATAATCCATAAACAACAACTGCCATCTGAAAACACGCAAACAAATATTCAAACTGGCAGATAAAACATGGCCAAACATTGAGAGATTCTCCAACTAACTATTGATAAGTTCATTTAATGATGTGTTTCTCCACAAATCAACAACTGAACTAAGAAAGGAGTCACTCTGCAAAAAGAAAAGACAAATCCACCAGAGACATTATGACCGAGAAGCCAATTAAATATCACTCAACTGTGAATATCAGCCTCAACTGATGACTATATCCTCACGTTTGGCCCCAAAGATGCTCACCCTGTGTGTCCGTCTAGTCTCCATGTTTCTTGTACAAACGGTTCACTCCAACACATGTAGAGACATCTGTGTGATTACAGTTTGTCTGAACAAACAGGGAATTCATCTCGAGAGCGGATTTTCCCTTTTGGTTGAACATTTCACACGTGCTGCTACGTCCACCTGTCCAATTCAGTTAAAGAAGTTTCTGTTTTCTAAATGAGGCAAAGAAAAAAATAATGACAAACCTTCCTGTGTGGCAATTGCCCCCCACCGCACCCTGCGGCCCCCTCAGAAGGGCTCCCAGGTGGCCCAGGTGGCATATAGACAACGTAAACAGGGCTTTGAGGGGAACGTAGAGGTGATCAAAAATGGATGAGCCATTGTACGGCCCCCTTCAGGCACTTCAGGCAGGACTAGTTTACGGCCTCCCGCATCTGACTGGAGAGCATGAAGCTTCCACCCGACTCAGTAACTCAGTTAAAACAGAGCGATTGTTGCACAATACGTGGACTTATTCCACGGCTTTTTATTCGGCCCTGCCGGAGAGTTTCAGTGCACATATATTCTAAATCTTACCTCTTTTTGTGATGAACTTTAATACCGCTAGATACCGTTTGTATCGGGTGAGATCTGTGACCTTGTCGTTCAGATAAAGTTCCTCCTTTAACATCGTAACGTTGCCACTTTTAGATTGACTTTAGATTTTTTAGATGTTTTTATTTAAGAACAGTTCTGTCTGTTTGTGTTTGGATAACTTTCAAAAGAATAGTTGGACATTTTGGGAACTATACTGTTTACATCCTTGCTAAGATGAAAAGACTTAATGTACCTGTTTCTTAGAGAGTATAACTCTTAATCTCTATTTACTTAACGTGACATGAAATCATAATATTGCTTTAAGATTCTAGCGCCTAAGAATTTTGGTTATTCATTTAATCGCTGATGGCCGGACTGTGTTGTTGTGTTGTTTGTTGACCAGGTTTTTTGGACTGTCAATAAAAAATACGCTTGGAAGACGTCCCCTCCGGCTCCGGGATCTTAAGCCAACCATTTGTCCCCATTTGTTAGGCTGAACAATTGACAGATGAACATAGAAATAATTAAAATAATTGCTGTAAAGTCGATGACAGAATGGAAAGAGGCGGCGAGACTTGGAACCATCACTGAAGGGGAGCTGATTGGGCGGAAGGAGCCGCACGCCGCACTGTTTATGTTTTCAATTCAGCGCTTTAATGCCGCAGATTAAATTAAGGCGGTTAAACCTTATTAACCCTTTGCTGCGTTGGAGTTACCAGCCCGGTCCGCCAAGTGTGAATCTCGCCCTCTTTCTCTGAACGTGGCCAGTGTTCAGTGACCGAACTCGAGCCGCGGGCTTCGTATCGGTCTCGCTGTGGCTCGCTGTGGCCAACATCAACAGCGTCCTTCCTGGCGGGGCGAGAGAGCCGGCTTATCGCCGCCCGCGCCAAAGTTGCTCGAGGAGAAAGCGAAGGAGGCCCGGGGGGCAGCCTGCATTTACGCTGGGCAGCACGTCACTTTGACGCCAGGGGCCGACTGTTTGTTTGCTTTTGTCGCCTAGAAAGTGTGTACTGTACGCAGAGGTGCAGCCATTCGGCGAACAGCCCCGCCGCCAGTTATGCAACAAGGCGCGTTTTTTGGCCGCTGTTGATTGTGCTATTTCTGGGGCGGGTGCTGCAGGTGCATGCTGGGCCGGCGTGGCAGGCTCTGCGTTCAGGGCCCCACCCGGGGGCCGCACGGTGTGCTCCGTGCGTTTCGTTGGCGAGCCTTAAAAGTGTTTTTGTATCTGTGTGCTCAGTCTCCCCGAATAGGAGGAGACTTCAGAGTTGAGGAGTTGAGGACTCGGTGTTGCTGAAGGACTTAAATGTTCGCTTAAGAGGTGCGATCGCAGACTGCGACTCGCCAAAGAAAGACAACTTTGTCACAGTTTGTGGCAGAACAATAACGATACAAATGTTTATTAGTTTAATATTAAATAACTTAAAAGTGAATATTTCCTTTTAATCTACTTGCTTTCAAACTATTTCAATAACCGTTGTACTGCGACTACAGTGAGTATTTGCCAGTCAATCGGCTGCTTGTTTTATGCATGGATTAGTTGATTAAACTGTCAATGAATTATTACAAAGGAGTGACAGATGTTCAGTTTCCCTCACCAGTGTCAACAGTTCACGATGGTACAGTTTTTCAGTGGGAAACTACTCGGTTTTACTCTGGAAAGGCCTGTTTCCTCTGCAGCGTTTATAGTATTCACTGGGTTTCTGCTGCACGATCCCTTCAGAGGGAAACATGCCACAGTCCTGCTTCCTAAACAAACCTCAGTTTTAGAAGCTGCTGGGGCGCTGAGGCCACGGACGGCTCGCCGGGTCACCTCTTTGGTCCTTCCTGACGCGACCATGTGTGCCCGGGCGGGTCAGGGACGGAGGTGTCGGGGGAGTGGGGAGGGAGGGGCGTGAGTGAAAGGTGCTCTTCGGTTACCTCGTGGGTCCTGGGATGAATCGACCTTTGGTGCACGCCGACGGCTCCACCCAGTTTCGGGCTCCGGTACGTCGCAATGCCCTTCCATAAACACTTATAATATAATTACTATAATAACTAGTAATGTGTTTACTCAGTCAATAAGAAGCATTAGCCAGCGCCGCCTCCTCCCTCCCCCCTCCCAGCCGGCCGTCTCAGTTCACATTTGTCTTTGGCCCCTGTGGGTTTCTGGAGTGGTTTCGATTGGACGGAGCTGAGCGGCCTGTCGAGCATTGGCACGTATTTCGCCTCGCTGTGACGATGACACCGCCGCATGCCTTGGTGAGCTTTATCGGGTGGCACTCGATGGCACGTCCTGGTTTGTCAGTGTGACACCATGCGGCTGCACCCTCTAAACCCGTCGCCCGGAAATACCACGAAAAACATCCGCTAATAAAACTCACATTTTTATTTCATTTACTGTGAG